ATTTAAGTGTAACGTTAAAGTAATTGGAAAGGAATTTAATAATTTTTTTAAAACTTTTTAAAAAATATTTTCTCATTAAGAATTTTAAGTGTTTTTTTTTATGTTTTTTAAAAAAATTTAATATTCCATTTTTGAAAATTTTCTAAAAATTAATATGAAGATTTGCTAGATATTTTTAGCCAAAATTTTTATAATTAAATTTATATATATATAATTGTTAATTGCTCTTACAAGAAAATTTACAAAAAAAAACATTTTTTTTTTATTATTTAAAAGGCATAAATTTTTTATAATTATTAGCATTAAATTATTGTTTTTTAAATATTATAACTTTTTTGCATAAATATTCATCTAAAATTTTCATTTTTATTTTATTATTAAATTTTAATTTTAATATTTGTTCAAATTTTTAACTTATTTTAATTTATTTTAATTATATATATATAAATACTTTAAAAAAAAAAACTTTTAACTTTTTATGATATTTTTTTATTTTTTATTATGAATTTTAATTTTTTCATGTTATACTTTTATTTTTTAATATTAAATATAATATTAATTATTTATTAATTATAATACTTATTACGTTTTTGGAATTAATAAACAGAACTTGTAATATAATTTGCTTTTAAAATGGTTTTATTTTTTATTTAAGAAAACTGATTTGTTAATCTTCAAAGTTGATAAAATAAATAGGAGGAGAAACGGAAGACGTATTATTTTAACATTATTGATTTCTCAAATTGGATAATTAGGAATTTCTGAGTGTTTTCTTTCATATTTAAAAAAAAAAAATTAATCTTATTTTATTAGCATTCACAATTGAGCATTTTTTTTTACTTCATATTAACAGAGATTTGTTATAAAACGCCACGAGGTATAATATAATGGTTTAGCCATTTAACCAGCTGATCGAGTTGATAAAAGTTTATTAATTATCATCATGATTGGAATTGGAAATACCAAGATTATTTATAAAATTTCATCGGGCTATTTGTAGACTTGTCAGTTTATCGAAAAAATTTTGATTGGAGGGAGGAAGAGGGGGCTCTTTCAATTATTAGCGATGTTCTAGTCCATCAAGTAGTTTCTCTGAAGTCTACACCGTTAGATATTATTAGGGTGGGTTTTTACTATATATAACCTAATTGACATTAGAGATCTGCAAAATTAGGCCCGGCCCATACTCGGCCCTTGGAAATTTTTTTAAATATATCTAAATTTATCAATTTTAATATTGAATTTTTTAAGTAAAATAAACATTTTTGATTTAATTTTATTGAAACTAAACGCCACATAACATATGTCTCTTATTTTTAGTAATTATAAAAATTAATTTCTATATTTAAATAAATTCGGACCCGGCCGGTAAATTTTTTTTAAAATCCCGATGCAGATCACTAATTAGATCACTAATTGACATTATTAATTTTTTTTCTAGCCTCACCCACTACAGGTAATTATTTTTACATCTTTATCCTTGGTGCGGTATATGGCCTCCCTCTTTTATCGTCAAAAAAAAAGTCATTCGGTCCTAAGAGTTTTATCTTACCGTAGAACCTAAATCAAAAAATATGGTATACCTAATGGAAAGAGTTTTCAATTGACTTCTATCTTTTATAGTTCCAATTTTTCAGATAATCTCATTTTGATTTCACTTACTTACAACTCTAATTCAAATAGTGAAACCTTTCTCGATATAGTATATTTTCCCAAAAAGAATATAATAGAAATCTGAATTTAATTTTAAAAAAAAACCTTAACTAAGAACTTAGAATCTTGTACTATCTGTTAGTGCTGTCAAGCTGTCAGATCTTTGATTAAGATTAGAACCAAAATAATAATTACATGTAAATTCTAGATTTCACAAATAGAGGTTCCAAATATTTATGCCATCTTTGAGCAAAATCTCCAAGATTACATATTATTATTTTGGGTAAGCTTTTAATCGGACAGTTTTTTAAAATCGACCCAAATCATACCATTTAGCAATTACTATTATCTGGATTATCAAGAAACGATGAATCTTATCCTCGACAAGCTAAACGACAGGCAGATACGATCATAAATTATATCGTGTCAATTAAAACAATTAGCTCGATCACGACATTATGGCGTAGGATATCAATTCATAATTAGAGATTGACTAATACTAGATATTACACAAACAAAATATCATGGCAAAGCTGATACTCACTGAGGAAAATTAAAGCGAAAATTTTAAAATTATGGGAAGAGTGGAGAAAAGCTAGGCGAATGCATAAATCATATAATAGTCTTCATGTGTCGACAAAGATGGAAAATTCTTCGATTAACAGCAGACAAGTAAACCTAACTAGATTGCGTTTATCGAGGGAAGAAAGAACGGCCAAAATGATCTGTTAATCGAAAGGGCATAATTATACCACAGCTATGATTCTCTGCAGAATTGTCTAAGGTTATGGACGCTCAAATATTTTTAAAATATATTTTTGGTAATATAAATAAACGCTATCCATATAAATTTGGAACCAACCGTTTAGCTTGTGAACCTTTAAATATGAAAACAATTACTACACATTTTCTCTTAGCAAGGATTTTATTTATTTAAGTTACAAAAACGATAAAATATTTGTATCGGGTCAAAAGGCTGCAGAAGATTAATATGTCTCACCTGCCCTTCACTTGTCCGTCTAAGGTTTTACAATTAGAAGAATATTTAAATATTTTTTCATGCGAAATATATAAGATAACAACCTTTAAGTTATGCTAAAATTTAAATAACTAAATTAATTTGTTATTTGCGTTATCAATCAAACCAAACCGAAGTGTAGGGATTCAGTTTGGTATATATATACATGAAAAATTGTGAATGGTGTTAAACCCTTTTTAGATATGTGTTTTAATATAAGTTATTACTTAATAATAATCAAGACTTTCTAAACCTTTAATTTAATATATTACAAATAAAACTTATTTTATTTTAACCACAGAATATTTGATACACAATAAAAACTTTTATATACCATTATTCAATTTATAAAATAGTTGTATTAGTCATATGTTAATATATTCCATTTACCAGTCTAAACCTTTGTTCCTTCTATGAAGCAAAATCTTCAGGGTTGCGTAATATTTTTTTAGATGAAATATTGAGTTAGTCATTTTTAAAAATAGCCTAAAAACGAGCATTACAACACTAGGAAATCTAATTTGGCCCCCAATTTATTCCAGTTGTCTGTGGAATTTTTTGTTCCGTGAACAAAACTTTGAGCTTTCCTTCATATATTTATCGATTTTTTTTCTTTCTTAAGATAGAGAAGAGAAGAGAAGAGAAGAGAAGAGAAGAGAAGAAGAGAAGAGAAGAGAAGAGAAGAGAAGAGAAGAGAAGAAGAGAAGAGAAGAGAAGAGAAGAGAAGAGAAGAAGAGAAGAGAAGAAGAAGAAGAAGAAGAAGAAGAAGAGAAGAGAAGAGAAAGAGAAGAGAAGAGAAGAGAAGAAAAGGCCTAAAACTATCAAAAAATATATATATAACTAGCACATAAAATGAAATGATTGATATAAATAAAATGGATATACAATGAATAATATTTTTGATTCTAAGAATATAGAATAAAATATTTACCCTCAAACAAAAATTTTAGTTTATTATATTTTAAAAAATTAAAATTTGCTATTTCTAATTCATTACCTTAAAAAAATTAAAATCATGCAATGGAAAGCACCTTCTTCCAGATTTGGTTGGCTTTATATTTAAGGTATGATACCATAGCATCAAATTTGAATGCGAATTTTTTGATTGGTTGGAAAAATTATTTGAATAAGTAAAATGGAGGGCACTAAATATTCGCATAAACCAGACATTTAACCTTCTGCATTCTACGTTTTGGCACAATGCTATTTTGGGAATTTATTCTAGTTTAACAAATAATCTTTTCCCTGTTTAATAATTTTTATATTATAGCTATATCATGAACTAACGAAGCACTACTTAAGGTTTGATATAAGTTTCAAAGTTATTGATAATGTATAAGCATGAAACCTTGATCAAATTCTAAGAATATTTGCTTATAGTCACTCTTGATGGTAAAGTTGGCCAAGATTTTGCTATTATAATTTTTTTAGTGGCTCAGATGTATCCTAATAAAGATCAAAATATTGATATAAATTTAATTAAAGAGCAAATTAAAAATAAACTTAGAAATATTATAATTAAATGGCTAATGAAAATTTCTTATAGGCCGGATCTGGCTAAAAGTCGAGCAACTTTAGAAGTAAACACTCCCCTTACCTCTTAAAAAAATTCGCAATTCCCCCCCCCCCCCTTGGAAGAATCCTGACTATAACATCGCATAAAGATAGTACCTTAATTTTGTATGTTGGTGCTTATATATTATTATGATTAAAGTTATAAATTATAAAAAAACCATATAAATTCTTGCAAAATTATTTGAATTTATTTTACCACCAAAAGTTTATAATTTTGTTTAAAATATTTATAAGTCACTAAAAGGGGTGGGGTGGAGGGAATAATAGCTTTTAAGAATATTTCTCAAAATTGGAAGAATAGTAAAGTAATTTTTATTGATGAAATTATAAATTCGCTAATTTGTCTAATTTAAAAATAATTTTTAAAGTATATATTTTTTTAATATTATGTATTAAAGATTGATGCGTAAAAATTATTTTAAAATTTATGGGTATCAAATTATTTCGAGGGGGTGGGAGTACTTTTCATGGGGATTTTCTACCTCCATCGCTTAGAAAGTCTAGAGGTCACTACTTTTTAAATTACATTTAAAAGCATAGCAGAAAGGGGTCCAGAAATTGTTTTATTCGGAAAATAATATCTATGATTGTGTGCAATATATAGATTTGATCGATGTTTAGCAATACCATTGTAATAAAATAGTCTATGATAAATTTATTAATTTTTACAGCAATACATTATGCCCTATTTCATAAGAAATTTAATAGATTATCCCCCAATAAATTTATGCTACTCCTAGTCTATAACTCTTAAATGCCTAATCCCTACTCCTCACTCCTCTTAAAGATAGGATGCAAACTGTTCCAACCCCCACCTCTCATGTAAA